TCTCTCCCTCTCTCTCCCTCTCTCTCTCCCTCTCTCTCCCTCCCTCTCCCTCCCTCCCTACCTCCCTTCCTCCCTTCCTCCCTACCTCCCTTCCTCCCTCCCTACCTCCCTCCCTCTCTCTCTCTGTCTCTCTGTCGCTCTCTGTGTCTCTCTCTCTCTCTCTCTCTCTCTCTCTCTCTCTCTCTCTCTGTCTCTCTCTGTCTCTCTCTGTCTCTCTCCACTCCTGCCCAAGTTATGGTTTCTTAAAGTATATACTCAGCGTTACTCTTGTGTTTGTGTGTGGCTGGGAGACTTCAGAGAGATACTCACATGTCCATGATCCCAGTGATGGGTATACCTCAATATGTTAACATATTGTGGCTTAGTGGGAAAAAAATCATAGAATTATAGGGTAGCTCAAGGATGGTTATCTCAGAAAGATGAAAATCTACTCTCTTAGAAGTATATATTTGAAAGTACATATTTTGGTATCTTAGAAACCTCAAAGTCAGATTGTACCCACACTCCCACTCCTGCCCAAGTTATTTTACTACTTTTGCAATTTAAACATGCTTCATCTTTTTAGTAGAAATATAGGTAGATTTGTTTTTAATTATTCTTTTCAGGATAAACTGAGTTTGTTAACCTTTTGTTAAAGTGCTTTTATCCTATAGTTTTCTCTGGTTCCTTTTCACATTTTTTCAATTACACTTGAATTTTAAGACCCAAACGTAGCAAGGTAACTTTACTAAAGCTTTGGTCGATTCCTAAATATGGAAAAATGATATTTAACATCTCAAAACATTTTTAATACATTCTCTTATAATTTATTCTTTAGCTAAAATGTTCTTTGTGGACAAGTTTTTTTTTCTCCTGTTTTCCCAGTGCTTTTATCTGTTTTAGGATTTACAAGGTATGATCACAAAATATGGTGAAGGTATAAATAAAAAAAATTTATTATAGTAAAAGACACATTGCCAATAACCCCCCTCAAAATACTCCCCTGCCCTTTGAACATATCCCATTGTTCTTGCCACTTTCTGAAGCAGCTCTGGAAGTCCTCTTTCGTGACTTTAGTTGAGCTGTTACGGCTGCCGCGATGTCCTGAATCATTTTGACTTTGGGGAAGAGCCAGAAGTCACATAGTGCCAGATCTGGTGAATAAGGTGGATGAGGACACGTTGTAATGTTTTTATTTGACAGAAGTTGCCAACCCAGAAGCAGTGTGTGTCATGGAGCCTTTCCGTTGTGATCAAACAATACAGTGAATGCTGCTATCGAGTGCCTTCCTGCAGACAGGCAAGAATCTTCAATATGGGAAGCAGCGAATCGAACCTTAGTATCAGTGTGTGACAAGTTTCACCTTGTTTGGTGCAGTCAGTCAGTGTGAGCTACGGTTGAGAGGTGTGTTTTAAAGTGTGCCATAAATCATCCTGCATCTTGATCATCGCTTCTGTTGTATGGCAATTTCTGCCAAATTAAAACATGACGGTGTGTCCTCATCCACCTTATTCACCGGATCTGGCACCATGCGACTATTAGCTCTTCACCAAAGTCAAAATGATTCAGGACATCAAGGCAGCCACGACAGCGCAACTAAAGACACGAAAGAGGACTTCCAGAACTGCTTCAGAAAGTGGCAAGAACGATGAGAGAAGTGTGTTCAAAGCGAGGGGGAGTATTTTGAGGGGGATTATTGGCAATGTGTCTTTTTCTGTAATAATTTTTTTTAATTTAAACATTCACTGTTATTTGGTCACATCTCATATATCCTTCGCAAGCATATTTTATATTTTTCATATTAAACATCGTGTTTTATCCATTTATGTTTTTGGCTTTATTGAGGTATAAATGACAAAAGTGTTTTATCCATGTAGCAGAATGATTTTTAAGCTAATTATTCAGAATCCTGCGCTTTACTACATGTGGCATTATCAGTGTACTGGGTTCTTATTAAATCATTAATAAAATGCCTTTAAAAGTTCTTTGGCATCTTTCATTCCTCTTGGATTCTGATGTTTATGTGATTACTTTTTCATTGGCTTTCCCTCTTATGGGATTTGGCAGTGATGCTTCAAAATATACAGGGTATTTTATTTACTTTTTTTTTTTTTTTAATATATACAGAGAGAAGGAGGAATCCCTTCAGCTTCATCAGGAAGCTTGGGAACGACATCAGTTAAGGAAGGAACTTCGTAGCAAAAACCAAAATGCTCCAGACAATCGACCAGAGGAAAATTTCTTTAGCCGACTAGACTCAAGTTTGAAGAAAAATACCGCTTTTGTCAAGAAACTAAAAACTATTACAGAACAACAGAGAGACTCCTTGTCCCATGATTTTAATGGCCTAAATTTAAGCAAATACATTGCAGAAGCTGTAGCTTCTATTGTGGAAGCAAAGCTAAAAATATCTGATGTGAATTGTGCTGTGCACTTATGCTCTCTCTTTCACCAGCGCTATGCCGACTTTGCCCCGTCACTTCTTCAGGTTTGGAAAAAACATTTTGAAGCAAGGAAAGAAGAGAAAACACCTAACATTACCAAATTAAGAACTGATTTGCGTTTCATTGCAGAATTGACCATAGTTGGGATTTTCACTGACAAGGAAGGTCTGTCTGTAATCTACGAACAGCTAAAAAATATTATTAATGCTGATCGAGAATCCCATACTCATGTTTCTGTGGTGATAAGTTTTTGTCGACATTGTGGAGATGATATTGCTGGACTTGTACCAAGGAAAGTAAAGAGTGCTGCGGAGAAGTTTAATTTGACTTTTCCTCCTAGTGAGATAATTAGTCCAGAGAAACAACAACCTTTCCAGAATCTTTTAAAAGAATACTTTACGTCTTTGACCAAACACCTGAAAAGGGACCACAGGGAGCTACAGAATACTGAGAGACAAAACAGGTGATTTTCAAATGTTTCTCAGAATTGAGAATTTATTTTGGAGCTCATACTTAAAAATGTTTAAAATCTTCATGCCACTGAAAGAACTTGTGGAAAAGGGCTCATTGCAGGTGATTTCTTAACATTCCAGGAAAATTTCAAAGTGTAACAATCTAAGTACTCATGTTTAAATGTGAGTCTATCATAGATTTTGTTTCTGAATTTAAAGAAATCTGGCAAGCATATGGTGATTTTTACTTTGTGAATTTGTTTTCTTCCTGTGATTGAAAAACTCTTTAATGTTGAGGGATTAATTTTCTTTTTCTGTTACTTTAACTCATGTGCTGTTTTTCTGTGTGTTTTGCTGTTCCCTCTATAACAGGTTTGCTTTCATTGTTTTGTATTTTAATTTATTGATGTCACTATTGATACTTGTTCTTTTTTAAAAAAAATGGGTCATTCATTATCAGTGATATTTTAGATCAGAAATTTGGAAAATAGTGCACCAAGTTAGCTGTGAAAAAATTTCTTAAATGCAACTATGTATAGTGAGTGCATTTACAGGAGTCTTTCTCCTGGGGACATCCATTTAAAATTCTAAAGCAATAATGTACCTGCCGGTGGTAATTGGTGAAGAAACCTGATTTAGGGAGCCCCTTCGATTGGTACAGAATACTAGACTACTATGTAGCATCTGTACCTAGGAAGCTTCAACAAACTGGAAGTTGATGTAGTAGTTGGTGGCCATTATGTCAACTTTTATGGAGGGTGAACTTGGAGGCAACAGCAGTAGCCTTTGGCTGAGTACTTTGCAACTATTTAAAGTGCATGGTTGAAAGTCTGAAATTGCTATTGATGTATGGGGGAGTATATTTTTCTGTTTTCATAAGTCTGCACTGGGAAAGACTGGTTTAAGTAGTTACCAGTAGAAGATGATTGACTTAACCAGAAGAGAAGACTAGTAGTGTATGTCATACAGTCAGGGTCAAGATAGGTGCAGAGACTATATGGCTAAACCCCCGGTGGCTGAAGGTCAGTCAGAGATAAGAGTTTAACATGACAATGGTATTCCTCAGTGTTTTGTAAAAAAAAAAAAAAAAGAATCCTTGTTTTGTGCTTTTGAGTAGTGAGGACTGTTACAAACGTTGAAGAGACAGCTTCAGAATATATGTATATATAGTCAATAATGGATTAAAGTGGAAAATATTGGTCCTCTACTCATATTTCTCACACATTTAAGGTTTTTAAAATTAAGACTTACATAGTGTTTTGTCATTTTTCTTGTCTTTTTCCTTTCCCACTATGGCCTACCTAATACTTCAAACTGATTTTATAAGTATCCTTTGATTAATTTTTAAAAGCTACTTTAAGGGTTTTGTGTGTGTGTTTGCTTTTGATTGGCCTCATAGAAGCTCAGAGGGTAGAGAGGTTCTACAATGATTTAATCGCATCACCCTTCTAGTGCAGGAATCCATGTTACAGGTTATCTGACAGATGAGTTCTCCCTCTGAAAACCTCCAAAGGAGCTTAGAGCTCTGAACTGTTCCAGTGTTGGACATATGTATTTCTTAGGAATTCAAGCTGAAATTGAACTCCCCATAAAATGGTTCCCTTTGATTTACTTCTGTTTTTCTGCGACAGATGAAATAAAGCTACTGAGAGTGGGGGTCTGTGACGTGTTTACCTGTTGACAGTGAATTAAGTATAGAAACTAAAACTAGGCCTTTAGACATGTTTATGGGTAACTTTCTGTTGTCATGATATTGTTACTGTATTTTACAAAAGTGTCTACAATGACTGGAAAAAGTTACTCCTTAATCACAGGTAGTTTGAGAAGCACTGGCTTCTCATTCAGATATTACCCATGATAATATCTCGAATTTTTGCAAAGTGCCAAGTTGTTTCACTTTCATCTTATCTCCTTCAGGATATTCCTTGAGACACTTGTTTTTGGATGTTTCTTTTCTGCTTAGGACGTAAAGTTGCATTAGTTTTTATAGCTGCCTTGTCATTCTTTGGAATTTTTGTTAGGCTTATGTACAGCTAAAGCCTAATTTCTCAAATGCAGTGCTGCCAAGCCAGTTCTTCACCTTGAACTAGTGAAATAATTTTTTAAACCTAATTACAGACTTTCTTACCTCTTTTAAACTTTATTTAAGTGCTTTTGGCATATTATTTTGATCTAATGATAATTTTGAACATTGATTACATGTATATTATTAGTTGTACTTATCCATTGGTCACTTTCAGTTTCATGAGCAGACATTCTGTTCTTTCATTCAAGTCACTGCTGAAAATTTTGAACAGGATAAAGTGTTAAAAGCACGACTTTGTGGCTTTTCTCTAGAATCTTTTACTCATTTAAATATGGAAATACTAAGCCATGATTATTAGAGCAGATTATTTACCTAGTGTGAATTGACCTTTGCATTGTAGCAGTTATTTTGTCATGGGAGACTGTTCACTTAGATGTAATAATTTGGGGGATGTGAGAATCTTAATCACAAATATAGAAAATAATTGGCATTTGGCTTAATAAGTCACTCATGCCTTAGGATGGCTTCAATTTGAGCAGCTTCTGTAGTGAAGTGATTTAAATACCTGACTGATGAAAGAATAAATGAGGAATGAATTGGTGCAGAGACCCTACTTGGCCTGTTAGTCTCCTTCTAAGAAGGCACTATACTGTTAAAATGACCAGTTTCTAAAATTTTCTCCCAATGATTATCCAGTAGGTGTTTTGAGGTTTTGCTACATCATGGGAATAAAATCTTGGGGAGTAGTTTTTCTCAGTAAGCGTTCTCATTCGGCATAATGCTAGATATCTAACTGCCCAGCTAGTGGATATTTAAGACTCACATGTAGTAGAATTACTTTAAGCCTTTATACAATATCTTGTTAATGATGAGTTTTTAAAAATCAAATACACTATTTTCAGTCTGTAAATCCCAAATGCTGTTGGTCACTTCAATAGCTTGGGAGGTGGCACTGTTCTTCCTTAGAGGTTGTGAAATCTAGTCTATACTCAAAAAGTCTATACGTAAAAATTCAACCAGTTTAAAAAAAGAGTAATAAAATTTCTGATATTTTATTGAAGACGCTGTAATGAATGAGTGAAGGCAGTGACTTGATGAGACATATGGAGTCTCACCTTTTCTTTTCTCATGCTATCTGGGCTGATACCATAGGTATCAGGCAGCTTGTTCTGTTTCTAAGCCCCTGAGGGGTTTAGTTATAAGCAAGCAGTACAATATCCTAGTTGGGTGAAGTCTCATAAATTTGAACTTATAAGCTTTTTGTACTTAAAATATACATTTTGGCTAAGTGATCTGGGGAGTTAATATTTACATATCTAAAAACATCTAGTAATATTTGCCAATTTAGCGTTTAGAGCTTTACTTCTTGGTAGGTTTTGCTTTTTATTATGTTCAGTGCTCTTTACACTTGAAATGCTTTGTACTTTGAGATATTATTTTTATAGAGGTAATATTACCTAGTATTTTTTTTTTAATGGGGAACAGCCATGTTCATTGGTTACACACTGCTTTCATGCTACAATGGCATAGTTGACTAAGGGAGGGCACAGCTCACAGTGGCCCATGCGGTGATCGAACTGGCAACCTTGGTGGTATTAGCACCACGCTCTAACCAACTGAGCTAACCAGTCATCCCATTACCTAGTATTTTTTTGGCATTTAATAAAAATTTGTTGCAGAAATGATTTAATTTTTATTAGATATAACAATGTTAATTGTGTAACAAAATTTGTTTCTTGCAGCATAGTGGATTCATGAATTCAGCTATTAAGTCAGGATTTTTGCTTGAATAATTCTGAAGTATCTTAATTCCTTTTTTTTCTCTCTCAATGGTGAGAGTGGTGGCAAGTCTGCCTATTCAATACTGGAGAATTACAACCTTCATGATTGCATACTCAGTCCAGCAGCAGTAAGTGATTTGCTTTAAAGTTTAGTAAAAAAAAGAAAAGTAGGTAGAATGCAGACTTCCTCCTCGCTGTTAATAAAATTAGGGAGGTTTTTTTTTTTTAATCAATGCAAATTCATGAGACATTACCAATGTTGAATCTTAAAAAATGCATTAACCTAAAATTAAAAAATGTCTCTTTTACCTTTCACTTTCCTTCCAGGTAAGTGTACTTTGCCTTTGCAGGTAGATTTGATAAATTGTGTAGTATTTAAGCACTGTTAAGATGTGATATGGTTGTGCTTTAGACTTAAAGAGGTTCTAACAATTTTATAAGTGCTCTAAAGTTATTACCTCCTTCCAGATATTCTCTAATTTTGTTTCAGTGACTTTGATATAGTTTAATAAATGTTTGATTGAGTACAGTTGTGCTTAACTATGTCTAGTGTCTTTTCACAAGATTAAAAGACAATCCATAACCAAATTCTAAAATGAAACCAAAAGAAAATGTAAGATAATTTTCATGAAATTTAAGTTAATTCTTGGAAAATTTGGCAACATGCTAAAGAAGATGAAAAGTAAAAAAAAAACCTAGTAGTTTTTCATGGGTCTGCTTCATGTTTACTTTTTCAAGATTTAGCCACGTGTTCTGTGTTATTTTGCATGACTGCATAAGGTTAAAGCTAAAATGGATTTTCTGTTTCCTTGCTAAGACTTTCTTCTTTTGTAATTTGGCTAGGTTCTTGCCTTTTCAGCAGTGGCCCTGGTCTTTTTTTTTGCTCATGAAAATACTGTTTTACATTGATAAAGCACATTACATGTATGATCTTAATTGATTCTTCACAGTACCCTTGAAAGAAATACCTGTGTTTTGAAGGTGATAGATCAGATTTTGGGATTAAAGAGCTTGCCCAATGTGACTTAGATAGAAGCGACAGAATCAGGTTCTTTCCTGCCTCTTCATACTATATTTTTCACATCTTCCATAGCACTCATCTTCATTTGCATTTAGTACTTGTACTTGTTTTTAAAGTGTCTAGTAAAAACATTAACTACTCAGTACTTACCACGTCATATCCAAACAAAAAGAGAATATAAAACTAGCATCTCGGTATGGGAAAGCTTGCCTTTGATAAATGCATTGGAGAGACATTCTACAATAATTTCAATATAAAGTACCAAGTGGATAATTTTACTCTAATTTGAGAAGCAGTACAGTCTAATAGTTACGAGCATGGACTCTAAAGCCAGACTTGCTTGGGCTCAAGTCTTAGATCTGTCATTTATACATTCTGTAACTTTGGGCAAGTTACCTTATATCTCTCTGCTTCAGTTTTCTCTTCTGAATGGGATAGCAATAGCACTAACTCTGAGGTAAAGGTAAACGATGCAGTGAATTCATGTGTGAAAGCACTAAATAAAAGTATCTGGCACATTGTAAGTGTATAATAAATGTTAGTTCCCTCTTAATATATTACCTGCCTAATCCTTTATTTAGCAAGACTTTCAAATAAGAATTTCTATTTATGATTTTGAAAATTTGCATGCTAAACTTCTTAAACTTCCATAGCTTATTTTAAAAGTTCATGTTTTTAAAACAGTACAGAACAGCAATAAATTATAAATTAAAAAAGAGCAAGGAAGTCAAGCAATAATAAAAATGGAAAAAAGAAAAACAAAACAATGTTTCTTAATACTAGAATTTCTTGAGGCATTTATGACTTTATGAGATAATAATACTTGATTCAAGAATGAACTATTTGATGCTTCTATCAGCTTTACAATATTAAATTAGTATTATTGAAACAGTCCAGAAACCAAGGATTGATGTGCCTTAGGGGTGCTTCCAGACAATGATGTCACATATATTGGATGAAGGAGGTCTACTTTCTTGTATTTTTATTATAATGAGTATGACTTGGAATTAATATTGTTTCCTTGCTTACTTTTCATATCTTTAAAATGGTGCCAGTACCTCCCTATTGTATAGTGATATCATGAGAAGGAGTAAACTTGTTTATAATACATTTTATAGTGATACTAGCTCAGTTAACTCCAGCTGTGGTGGGGATTGGCATACTGTGGCCCACAGGCCAGATTGGGCCCACCACTAGATTTTGTACAGCCAGTGAGCTAAGAATGGTGTTTATCCTTTTATTTTAAATGGTTGAAAAAATCAAAAGAATATTTTGCGAAATATTAAAATTATATGAAGTTAAAATTTCAGTGTCCATAAATAAAGTTTTATTGGAACATCCACTTACTTGTTTAAGAATTGTCTGTGCTTTTGTGCTGTAACAGTAGAATTGAGTAGTTGCAACAGACGATATGGTCTGCAAAGCCTAAAATATTTGTCTGGCCCTCTGTGGAAAAAGTGTGCTGACCTCTAATTTATGGCAGTTTCAAAGGTATGGCTTCAGTTCAACTTCTGTAATAGGTGTGCTTCTGAGCAAATTGTAATTAAAATATGTGATGAATCGTATCTTCAGCTTGATTTTGCTTAGTGATACATTCCCATGGAGTTAACATAAAAAATTTTGGTGAGATTTATACTGATGTACAGAAGAGAGGTACTCTGGTCAAATGTGCTATGTAATGTTTAGTCCCCTCATGCAGGTCTTCTAAAAAAATTTAATCAAACTTTCCCTATGGGCTTCATTAACTTATAAAAAAACTGACATATATAGCGCATTCATTAAAAAATGTTTCGTTTTAATTTCATCAGAATCTCGAAATGATTCTAGGGATTTTGAACCTTCAGGCATCTATGATGTTATTTGTTTGCTTGAAGTTTGTAGTCTTACTACATGCTGTGGTTTAGTCAGGAGTTTAATAAATGTATATTAAATAAATGGTCAAGTAAAATCGATGTGACTATAAGTTTTTTGTGTAACAGGACTCTTCTAATGCCATTTCATTGGTGTTCTGTACCTCTTACCAAGTGCTTCGTGTAAGATACGGTTAGAAAACAAACCAAAATCTGGGCTTTTTCCTGGGAACTGTTCTCACTAGATAGTAACCTAAAACGTGTATAAATTAAATAGTTAGGTAAATTAGTTCTGTTAAAAAATTTGATCAGGGAGTTGAGATTTGGGGGATGGGGACAAGGAATATCTCTGAAACTTCCCAAGTTTCAATTTGTTCCAGGAAGACTGGAAAGGAACTGGAATGTATACAAAGGGAACTATCATAGAATTAAATCACTTTTAATTGACCCAGAGCAAAGTTCCAGGCAAATGTTTGAAAGTGAGGTTAATATTGGAAAAGGAGTGTTCATTTTCTTTTCTAATAGTCATCACCTTGCTACCACTTATATACTCTTAGTCCTTAATGAATATTGTATAACCTAAAACTGGATGTGTGTTCTTCAGATAACCAGAATGTCAGAAGTTGTTAGAGAAATAATGTTCTAGACTGTTATTTTGAGATAATTTTCAATTTCTTTTCAAGTACTGAAATAATTTTGCATCTTAATTGTCATTAGAGGTTTTGAAATCCTTTAGAACTGTTGTTTATCCCTTTTAACATAATTTGCTTTAGAATATACTCCTAAGTTTTTATTAACATTTTTTCTGATAATACATTGTAGAACATTTTAGAGTAAATACTTTTGAGTAGTATTTGTTCAATTCATGTATTTAATTTTAATGGCTTTTTTTAACTTCAAAAATGATATTCGAATTGAAAGTTCTAACAGGCTCATTCAAAATATGTTAGTCATTTCTTTCATGGGTTGAATATTTTTAATTTAAGTGCTTTGGGTTTTTTGTTTAATTTTTTAAATTTACTGATAAAACTTACCAAAAGAAACTTTGTTTTTGCCTGTAAAAGTAGTCTGAAGTAAATGTGTGAAGAAAGACATTGCTCTTTAACGACTGTTTTTAGAGAAATGCTTTTTAGTCTAGATTATTATGATTAAGCTATTTTGACAATTTACTGATCTGTTCGTAGAATGATGTGGTCTATATCATAAGAAAACGAGTGACAGCTTCTCATTTTTTATTCTAATAGGCCAGATTTTTTTGGGGAAAAAATTGAGTTAATGAACAGTAACTGAGATATCTATACATTGATTTATCTGTGCTTATAATGGTAACTGATATTCCTAAAATAAAAAATGTAACTTGGAATGTTAACAGCATTTAAACAAAAGTTTATGTGGGTAGGAATGGAGTAAGATGGGAAAGCTTGGAAATTGTTCCAAATAAGCAGGGACAAATAAGTTAGGCATGTTTTTCCTACTTTATTTTCTGTAACTTTTAAGAAGATACCACACACACACACACACACACACACACACACACACACACACACACACACACACACACACACATTTTCTTCCCTGTCCCTAAGAAAACTCAAATGATAAGGAATAAAAAACTTAAATACTACTTTTGAAAATGACTTAATTTATAATCTGTAATTGACTTTGAAACCTATATTGCATTTGAGTTAGGGTTTATAAATGTTAAATGTTAACACTACTACATATTTAGTTATAAAACAAAATTGGATCCAGCTATAGATATCTCACCTATTTATACTAATATAGTAAGATTTTTACTTGACTTTATACATTTTGAAAAGTTAAAATAGTTTTGCATGTCTAATTGTGGGTGGCTTGTTAGTGAGCTTTTGCAGTGGAAGAGAAGTTGTGTCCTCTGCTTCTAGAGACGGCTTGGCCTTGATTATTTGGGTCGCACAGTTCATATTTGTTAAGTGGGTAAATAACCAGTGCTTGCACAGTAAATTGAGAATTGGCTGTATGGGAGATACGGGCTTTTTCAAAAGATAATCTCAATTCAAATCATTGTGAAACTTTAAAGGTACTGATTCTTTCTATAACCTGTTCTTGAAAACTAACTTGTTTAGGTGTGTTTGGTATTTTTGGTTAACTATCTGAGAGAGTATGGCTGTAACAAAAGACTAAATAATTTTTATTTTGTGGCTTATTGTTAAATTTTATATTTCTGCAGGCATAATTGTTAATCATACTCATAGTCTTTGAAGTACTAAATGTTAAAATGTAATTGCTTAGGTGAATTTGATTATATAAATTTAAATTTTCAGATGCATCTTGAAAATGTTAATAAAAATAAGTTGAAGAAGATTGTGCTAATAATAAGCTTGTGTGATAAAATCAAATCTTATGGAACATTTCCAGTGTAATAATATATGATCACATCTATTTTGATAAGATTATTTCATCATTTGTTTATAGGCGTATTCTACATTCTAAAGGGGAGCTAAGTGAAGATAGACATAAACAGTATGAGGAATTTGCTATGTCTTATCAGAAGCTGCTGGCAAATTCTCAGTCCTTAGCAGACCTTTTGGATGAAAATATGCCAGATCTTCCTCAGGACAAACCAACACCAGAAGGTAAGATATCCTTAAAAACAAACACTAATTTTTTTTTTAGTAAGTCACTATCACTTATCTTTAGTCTTGTCAGATGTGTTTTGAAAAACATTTTTTAATGCCTTTAAATCTTTTTTTTTAAGATTTTTTTTTTTAATTGGGGAATTGGGGGGATGGGAACAGCGCTGGGGAATTGGGGAAGGGGAACAGACAAGTTGCTGTCATTTTGGTCTTCAGTCTAGTTGTGGAGGATGTTGTTTCACTGGTCCAAGTTGGCACCATCATTGTGTTCTTCCTGGGCAAGGCAGATCAGTCGCCGGTTTCTCCAGGCCGCTCACTGCGGCTGCTGGCCACACACGGTAGCCCATGGCAACCCACTGCCACGGGGGCTGCAGCCTACGCCGTCGCTGGCGACTCACAGCAGCCCAGCTCCAGGTTGAGCTGTTGTTCAGCATCTTAGCTGTGGAAGGCAGTGTCACTGGCCCTCATATGTGGGATCCGAACCGGGGCCCTCTGGCATCCCAAGCCAGTTCTTAACCATCGTGCCACTCGGTCGGCCCAAATGCCTTTAAATCTTAAATCAAGTAGTACTAATACTTAACAGAACCTTAAAAAAATACTTGAAATGCTCTTCTGAATGAAAAAGGCTTTGAGCTTAGGGAACAATAATTAACTTAGATTTTATGATGAGTTCCCCTGTTTGTTTCTTTTTGTAACACATATCCTTGCACTATATCTAACAAGGGCCTGTCTAAAGCCATACTTGGGGTTTTTAGAAAGTTTCACTTTATTTCTCAGATAGTTGATAAAGTGGATTGGACCTTTTGGATTCTAATATTTTTATATCTTTATTTTTATTGTATTTGTTTTAAATGATATGTTAGATTATGATTTAGGACTAAAGCAGTTTTGTGAGATACATTGTTTATCCTTTTGAGATGAGTTGTTTTCCATTATTTCAAAGGCGTTGTAAACTTTCTCTTTGTCCTTAAGTTGGTAGGGTTCCTAATATATTACTGTAACCTGACATATCAACTACTTGGTAAAATAATTATATTTATGTTATGTTAATAAATTCTTAATCTTAAAACTATCTGGCAATCCTATTTACTTAAAAGTCTTAACAGTAAAGTATTTGTCAGTACATGTTATGTGCTGTTGAGCCAGCTCTGACTCCTGGTGACCCTGTGAGTGAGTGACGTGCAGTGTCCTATCCTCACAGTGTTCTGCTCAGCTCCTGCAGACTCTTGCCTGAGGCAGCTTTTGTGGATTCAGTCCATCTCATATTTGTTTTTCCTCTTGCCCTGCTGCCTTCTCTTTTTCCCTGCACTCTTCTTGTCTTTTCCAGAGAGCCCTGCCTTCTCATGAGATACCCAAAGTAGGGCAGCTTCAGTTTTGTTCTTTTTGCTTCCAGCCATGTTTCAGACTTAATGTGCTGTAGGACCCACTTGTTCTTCTTTCTGGTGGTTCAGGGTTATTGTAGAGCCCTCCTCCAATTCCATATTTCAGATGAATCAGTTTTTTCCTATAAGCCTTCTTCACTGTCCAACTTCCTCATTTGTACATAGTAATTGGGAACACGAGGGTGTAGATGACCTTAGCCTTGGTCTGTAATGACACATTGGTGTTCTTAGTGATCTTTCCTGATTCTTTCATTCCTGCCCTTCCGAGTCTCAGCCTTCTCTTGATTTCTTGACTGCAGTGTCCATTTGAATTGATGACTGAACTAAGGTAAGCAAAATCTTTTATAACAGTTTCAATGTCTTCATTGTCTACGTTAAAGTTGTGTATTTCTTCTGTAGTCATGATTTTTGTCTTGATATTCAAATGTAAACCTGCTTTGCTACTTTCTTCTTCCACTTACATCAGAAGTCGTTTCAGATCATTGTTATTTTCTGCCAGTAAGATGGTGTCATCTGCATATCTTAATTTTACACCAATTTTCAATCCTCCTTCCTCTGGATCTAGCCCAGTTTTTCATATGATATGTTCTACGTACAGATTAAACAAATAGGAAGAAAAAATGCACCCTTGTCTGACACCTTTGCTTACAGGAAACCATATTCTGTCCTGACAGTGGCTTCCTGCCCACAATACAAGTTTCGCATCAGGATGGTCAAGTGCATGCCCATTTCTTTCAGAGCATCCTATAGCTTTTCATGATCCATGCAGTCAAAGGCTTTATTATAGTTTATAAAACATAGGCTAACCATCTCTGAAATTCTTTGGAGCGTACTGAATCGAGCTTGACCATCCGGCATTCCTTGCTCCTTATGAGGTATAAGGTAGAAGCCTTTGTTATATCACCTTGTGCATCACTTTCCTTGCGTGGGAAATTAGAGCAACGGTCCTATTGTTACTGCACTCCTTGGCATCTCCTTTCTTGGCAATTGGGATGTATATTGAATGTTCTCAGTCTGTAAGATGTCGTTTTGTTTTCCACTTGTTGACATTCTTGTTAGGATTTTGACAGATTCAGTCCCTGTGGTTTAAAATAATTCTATCATTATTGCATCTACCTCTGGTAATGTATTCTCAAGACTTTCAGGGCAGCTTTCACTCATTTTCTATAATTACAGACTCTTCCTCATAGGAATCCTCTTCAAAAGTATTCCATCCTTTTGTCTCTTTTGTATAGATTTTCAGTATACTCTTTCCACCCTCCCTTTATTTTCTCCTGGCCAGATAATGTGCTTCCTTGTTGGTCATTCAGCATTCCTAATCTTGGTTTGAATTTCTCTTATTTTTTGAATCTTCTGGTAGAGAGATCTCTTGTTTTTTCCTTTATTGTTATTCTCTTCTGTCGTCTTACATTGACTATTATTCTATATGATAATCACTGAAAAACTGCATTCAGGACTAACTCTGCTTTTGTTACCTTTTACTTTTGCCTCTTGCCTACGTCTAATAATTTTTAGTGCTTCCATCACCCACGTTGATCTTTCTTTCCTTTTTACTTTTGGCATTGTCTTTTCATATTCTTCCCTAATAATATATCTAGTTTCAGTCCACAGTTCTAGTTCTCAGTCAGTTAGGTTTAACAGTGAAAATATGTTTTTTGGGGACTTTGAATCCATCAGGAATGTTGTTTACATTATATTTCTTTTAGAGCTCTTCTTCAGCTTTACTCTGTTGTTTGTTTTTAACAGTTTGTGGTCAGAACCACAGTCTGCTCCTGTTCTTGTCTTGGCAGGGAGAATCCAGCTTCTCCATTTCCTGCTTCCAGTCACATAGCCTACTGGATTTCGGTATTGGCCATCTGGTGATGTCCATGTGCACAGCCATCTCTTTGGCTGTTTGAAGCAAGTGTTCATGATGGAACAAGTTGTTGGCTTCGCAGAAATCTACAAGCTGATCTCCTGCTTTATTTGTGACCCCTAGTCCAAATTTTCCGATGACAGTTGATTCTACTTTATTTCTTACTTTTGCATTCCAGTCACCTATGATTTTTATCACCATGTCTTGTTTTGGTGTATGGTCAATTTCTTCTTGGATACTTGCATAAAAGCTTTCAGTTTCATGTTCTTTAGCCTCTGTAATTGGAACATGGACTTGAATGATGGTTATTGGTTTTCCTGGAAGTCTGATTGATAATATTCGGTCAGACCTTAGATTGTAGCTCCTAACTGCCCGTGCTACAATTTGCCCCAGTATTAAAGCCACTCTGTTTCTTCTGAGTTTGTGTTTTCAGAGTAGTGTACTATAGCTGCCTGACTGGAATGACTGAAATGGCCCATTCCAGTCCATTTTATTTCACTAAGACCAGGTACTGCAGTGTTTAGACGTTACGTTCCTTGCTTAACAATTTTCAGTTCACCTTGGTTCATGCTTCTTAGGTTCCATGTATATGTTGAGCAGCATTGCACTTTCCTTTTGTCTGTGCACTGTAGCTGCTAGATGTCCTTTCAGCTTTGATCGAGTTGCATTGTTAGCAACAGTGCTATTTGTACTTGTTCTCTGCTCTTCCCCAGTAACTGAGTGGTTTCCAACCTGGGAGTCTCATCTTTCAGCACTATCTCGTGTTTCATTTTGGACTGTCTCATTAGAGGGTTTTCAAGGTAAAAGGAAAGATTGAAAAAAAAGAAAAAAGAAAATGCAGCAGTGGTTTACCGCTGCCTTCTGCTGCACAGTGTGTGGGTCTAAACCTCCTGTGCTAGGTCTGTGGTGTCTTAGTCACCAAACACGTAGATGTAAGAGCCCTTGTGGGTGTTTGTAAAGCATCCTTTTATAATATAAGAAGGTGCTTTGTATTTTACATCCTCAGAAATGCCTATTGTATACTGTGAATATTTTACTTTATATGTAATCATGTACATAATTTCTACTAATTTTTGTATCTCCTGATTAATGATCCTCAGACTTGTTAATTGTTTTTGTTTTTTTTTAAAGTTGACTGGGGTGACAATAAACTTAATTTTTAAAAAGAAGTTCCATTGTAGAATTTGTGTTTTGGTAGAATCTGTCTGGATTCTCAGAATTTTCTCAGTATATTTATTATATTTTAGAACCAAAGTCTTTTTATAGTGTTTAGCATCCTTTGATGTTGATTTACTTGGTTTATTTCTACTGAAATTTAAGCTAGTTTTTTTAAAATGTTAAATGACTTTCCAAATAATTTTAGGTGTTTCCCAAAGATAACAGATTTTGACAAAATTCTGTCAATGTTTTTAAAAGATATTTCACCAGGTGTAAAATTTTAGGGTAAGATTTTTACTTTAAATATGTTGCTCTAGTGTCTTTTACAATAGCTTGTATTGCTTCCAATAAGAATGCCGGTATCATTATCTTTGTTCTTTACATAATGTTTACATAATTTTTCTCTGGTTATTTTAAACTTTCTTCATTATCACTGATTTTAGGCAATTTAATTATGATGTGGTTTGGTATAGTTGTCTTAATAGTTTTCTTGTACTTGGGATTCATTAGAGTTCTTGTATTTGTGGGTTTATAATTTTTATCAAATTTAGAAAATTTGACTCTTCTTCGAATACATTTTCTGTTCCTCTCCCCCTCCTGTAGAGATTCAATTACAACTATGTTAGGTGGTTTGAAGTTGTCCTTTTTGTTCTTTGACTGTGTTTTATATTGGATAGTTTCCATTGCTGTGTCTTCAAATTCACTAACTTTTCCTTTTACAGTATCTAATGTACTGTTAATTTCATGTAGAGATGTTGTTTTTATCCTTAGAAGCTCGTTATATTTTCCATGGCCTTAAACATGCTCAGTCTGTTGCCTACTAGTTTTATAATTTATATCATGTCTGCATTGCTTTTAATTGATTGATAGATTGATCTCCTCTACCTCTCTGGTAATTTTTCTACTACTTTACATGCCTGATTATATTTCATTGGATGTGTGCTGGATATTTTTGTATTCTTGGAAATATCACTGAGCTTTGTTCTGGGACAGAATTAAGTTAGTTTGAAACAGTTTCAGTCTAGTCTTTCCAGGCTTGCTTTGCTATGTGGGACCAGAGCAGCCTTTATTAAAGGGCTAATTTTCCCTTTTACTGAATCAATATCCTTTTGTACTCTACCTGATTTCTCATGAATTAGAAGATTCATGAATAATTATTTTCCCAGTTCACCTAGTTCTCTCACACATAGGGGCTGATCAGTATTCAGCTAAACATTCAAGGGGGACCTTCTACAGATTTTGTGCTGCTTTTCTTTCTCTGGTACTCTCTTACAAAATCTAGCCACCTGGGCTCGAGTCTTGCCAGACTGTCAGCTCTGTCATCCTCAACTCATAGAGACTATTGAGGTCTGCCTGGCTTCTCCCTTGGCCATAGTCTGGAAAACCTTACAATGCAGTAAGCTAGGGCAGTTAATTCTCTCAGGAATCTCTTTCCTGTGCCTGTACTACCTCATGTCTAGGGTTTGAAAACCGTTGTGTTGTATTATTTCCCTAGTTCTGGTTGTTTTAGGTCACTGGTACTTCATCTTGGCCTGAAGAGGCCTAAATTTTTTCATGATCATAATATCCTTTTTTACCTCACAGAAATGAGACTGTATCATACATATTGTTCTGCAGCTACTTTTTTAGTTAGCCATGTATCTTAGGTGTCTTTTCATATCAGTTCATATTGAGCCATCTAATTCTTTTAAAATTGCTGCATAGTAATATTCTATTGCATAATTGTGCTGTATTTACCTTGTCCTCTGTTGACTGACATTTAAGCTATTTCTGGTTTTTAGCTATTATAGCCAGTGCTATAATAAAATCTCTGTACCTGTGACTTTTGGTATGCATGCTAGTATTTCAGGGATAAATCCCTAGAAGTAGAATTCCTGGGTTAAAAGGTTATATGCATTTTAAGTTTCAATATATGATGCCAGATTTTCTTCCAAAGAAATTTACATGACACTAAGTATATGAGAATGAGTGTTTCCTTACACCCTTACCGTATTGCAGTTCTTGATTTTTACATTCTCAGTGAAGTTGAGCGTCTTTTAAGTTTATTGGCTGTTTTATAAACACACACGCACACACGCGCACACACTCTCCCACCCTCCCTGTAACATACTGGCTTAAATCTTTTACCCCTTTTTTAAAAATGAAATATTTGTCTACTTTTTTTTTTTTTTTTAAGATTTTATTGGGAAATTGGGGGAGGGGAACAGACAAGTTGCTGTCCTTTTGTTCTTCAGTCTAGTTGTGGAGGACGCTGCTTCATTGGCCCATGTTGGTATTATCATTGCGTTCTTCCTGGCTGACACAGATCGGTCGCCGGCCATTGGACAACTGCTCACAGCAGTTCTCGCCGGCTGCTGACCACTCGCGGTAGCTCACAGCAGCCCCACTGTAGCCTACATCATCGCCGGCCACTCACAGCAGCCCAGCTCCAGGTCAAGCTGTTGTTCACCATCTTAGCTGTACAGGGCACAGCATCATTGGCCCATGTGGGAACCAAACCGGCTGCCCTGCTGTTCAGAGCTAGTGCTCCCAAGCCAACTCTTAACCAACTGAGCCACTCGGCCGGCCCAATATTTGTCTACTTTTTAAATTGAATTGTTAAAAGTACTTTGCATATTAAGGAAATGACTCTTTTTTTATATGCATTACAAATATTTTCCCTCAATTTTTGATTGCTTTTTGACTTGGTAGCATTTTTTGACCCTCAGAGGTTGAATTTTTTTTGTTTACAATTTAAAATACTATGCACGTTATTTCTTAGTTTTGCATATTATACAGTAGAAAGTCTCTGTCATATCCAGTCCCTCCAAACTAACCATGGTTAACAGTTTGATATGAATCTGTCCAGACTTTTTTTACACAATATGTATATGCTAAATGTATAATCAGATATCTATATATAGCTTTATTGTTCTTTTATGTAGGATGTTATGTTGCACGACTTTTTTCTTTCAATAATATATTTTTGAGGGTCTTCTGAATCGGGTGAGGTAGATATACCTTATTTCTCTTAATGTATGATTAATATTACATAGTATATACTATGTGCAATTTGTCAGCCCTTCTCTTTTAATAGATATTTAGATTCTTTCCTGTTTTGCTCTGTTACAAGCAGTGCTGCAATGAATATTCTTGTAAACCTTTATTCACATTTTCTGTTATTTCTGAGGTAAGCTTATGCTTGTTTTAAATATTGATAAACACTGACAAATTATACTGTCCTAGTGCTGTATCAGTTTGTGCTCTAGTTAAGATATGAGAGTGCTTAACATCCCTGCTGTCAACATCTGTTGATATTAGTCTTTTAAACAATCTAATGGGTCAAACTGATAAAAGTTTGTTTTATTTCACGTTATCCTTTCTAGTACTGAGTTTAAGGATCTTTTCATATGCTCTTTTACTCATTTGTTTAGAGGCTTTATTTTTCTATTGGGATTTTGGTGTTTATTTGTAGGAGTGCTTTATATTATGGATATTAATTCCTTTGTATAAATATTGCCAGTATTGTCTTCTAGTTTGTTTACATTTTTATTAAATAGAAGTTATAAGTTTATCAATTTTTTCCTTTACGGTGTGTATGGGTTTAGTGTCCAATGTTTAAATATATTTGTTCTAAGGCATAGAATTAATGAGTTACGGAACCAGTGTTTTGTTGTTTTTGCTGTTATTCTTGTTTTTCCTGAATGACTTTTAATGAATAACCATAATTTTTCTTAGGGTTATTTATTTATTTTTAAAGATTTTATTGGGGAATAGGGGGAGGGGAAAAGCATTGGGGAACTAGGGAAGGGGAACAGAGAAGTTGCTGTCCTTTTGTTCTTCAGTCTAGTAGTGGAGGACGTCACTTCACTGGCCCATGTTGGTATTGTGATCATTGCACTCTTCCTGGGTGTGGCAGTCACTCGCTGGCCATTGGATGGCCGCTCACAATAGCTCACGGCAGCCCACTGCAATCTCACTTCAGCTTACGCTGTTGCTGGTGACTCACGGCAGCCCAGTTCCAGGTCGAGCTGTTTTTCATCATCTTAGCTGTAGAGGGCGCAGCGTCATTGGCCCCCACATGGGATCTGAACCGTTTGGCCCTGCTTCTCAGAGCCAGCACTCCCAAGCCAACTCTTAACCAACGAGTCACTCAGCTGGCCCTCTTAGGGTTATTTTTAATCTGCATGATCATTCTCCTCTTTGTAATTCTGGTTTGGAGAGAAGCACAGTGAGAAAAGATAAATTCATGAATGGTCTCATGATCGTGGAGTAGGAAATTAATTACTTTTAATGTTCTGAGTTAAGAATCTATAGTTGTATGTAAAGGTAGATTGTGTGTGTGTGTGTGTGTGTGTGTGTGTGTGTAAATTTATACATGGTTTTCCACCCTCTACTGAAATATCTATATATTTTTTAATATTTTCTAGTTATTTATCAGTTGACCATTTATGGCAATCTGCTTTTTGCCAAGGACTATACCAAAAGGAGGACTGCTTCTTTAATTAATGGGTTTATGGTCTACTTGCAATATAAGTGATACAGAGGGTTAAGAGCCATCAAAAGAAAAAGAAAGGCTTAATGGGGGAGGTGGGACTTGAAACCAGATGTTTTAAGAATGGCAGGGCTTATATATTTCATATTTTGGTTTCATGTTTTATGAAGGTAGGTCTAATAAATGACTACTTAATCTTATATTAATTGCTTAAAACTTTGAAGAGAAAAGCATCTTTATCCTATGCTATCCTCTGGTCCATCCTGGATTAGAACTTAAAACATTTTGTGATTTGATGTTAACGATGGTTATGTGAACAGTCCAGAGTGCTTATTGATTGAAGAAGCTCCTGTTAGTTGAAACACTTAAGATTCATTAGTTATAAAATTGAAAATATAAAATATCTTGTCATGTTTAGTGTGCTAAACCAGAAATTGTTTTGATTCCCTGTGATTTATTTTGTTATAGAGCATGGGCCTGGAATTGATATATTTACGCCTGGTAAACCTGGAGAATATGACTTGGAAGGTGGTATATGGGAAGATGAAGATGCTCGGAATTTTTATGAAAACCTCATTGATTTGAAGGCTTTTGTTCCAGCCATCTTGTTTAAAGATAATGAAAAAAGTTGCCAGAATAAAGAGTCCAACAAAGATGATTCCAAAGGTAAATTCTAGAGGACAAATTTTTACATTAAGTGCTATAAAAATTAGTTTCAAAATAGTATTTGGGAAAAAATTTTTTTAGTTACTAGTTTTGTAATATGAACATGGAGTCTTTAGATTAAATGAATGACAGAATTATATGGAATGGTGCATGAAAGGCTGATAATTGACATTTTAAACAATGCCATACATTTAAGTTAATGTGAAATAATTTGAAAATGTTTCTTTATAATACAATGAATTCATGTGCGATCTCTGTGAGATCTGGATTTCCCCCAGTTGGATTGTTGGGGAAGTGTTAGCTCTATAGTGTTCTATACCTGTAATGCTCTTTCTAGGTTAGATATCCCTTACTCTTTGTGAGGAAGAGTTACTTTAGGGAAATCAGCAGCTTGGAGATCATTAATAGGGTTGAAGGTCCTGAATGCCAATCACATCATGTTTTCTAAAGGGAGTTCTGCCAAACTGAAGAGATGGAAAAGACGAGATGGAAGGGCATGTTGGCAGGGGTTTGGAGAGAGCAGATAATTGTATTAAAAGTTATTATTTTTGCATTCTGATGTGTTTATTAGGGAGCCTATTTAAAAAAATAATAGCTAATATTTATTTAACAATCACTTTGTGCCAAGCATTATTTTAGCACTTTATAATATATATAGGAATTCATTTAATCCTCATAACAACCTATGAGGCAGCCACTGTTGTTATCCCTGCTTTTCAGATGAGGAAACTGGCACAAAGAGGTTAAGTACCTACCCAGGGTTAAATAACTTACACAGCTAGTGAGTGGTAGATCTGCAATGTAAGCCCTGTTAACTAATGACTGGTCTTAATTACTGTGTAATACTGCTGTTCAAGTTATGTTTAGTAATTTTTGTGATTTATACTAAAATTAGGACATAGTACACTTTGCTTTTGATGTGTAAATATTCTAACACATACTTCCAAAACATTCCATCACTCCAGGACCCACTGAGCAGTTTCTCCCTACTCCTTCCTTCCCCCCAGCCTGCATTCTGTGTCTATGGATTTATCTGTTTTGAGTATTTCATGTAACTAGAATCACACAGTGCGTGATCTTTTGTATATGTTTTAACTAGCATCATGTTTTGAAGGTACATCCCCATTGTACATTCATAAGTACTCCATTCCTTTTAATGGCTGAATTATATTTCATTGTGTGCATATCAGTTTGTTTACCCATTCTTCCATTAGTGGACCTGTGGCTCTTTCCACAGTTTGGCTATTCTGAAGAGTGCTGCTATGGATATGTATGCCTTTGAATCCCTGTTTTCACTTGGTTGAATATGCACCTAGGAGTAAAACTGTGGTTTATATGTTTATGGTTAAATATGTTTAACTTTTTGAAAAATTGCCAAATTGTTTTCTACAGTGTTTGAACCATTTTACATTCTCACCAGCAGTGTAGAAGGATTCCAGTTTCTCCACATCTTCTCCAATACTTGCTATCGTCTGGTTTTCTTTTTGATTTATAGCTATCCTTGTGAGTGTGAAGTGGTACCTTTTTGTGGTTTTGATTACATTTTCCTAATGACTAGTGAAATGTGTATGTCCTTTACCCATTTTTTAATTGTGCTGTCTTTTTAATTGTAAGAATTTTGTAATATAGTCTGGATACCAAACCCTAATCAAATATATGATTTGCAAGTATTTTCTTCCATTCTAAAATTTGTCTTCTTGCTTTCTTGATAATGTCCTTTGATGTACAGAAGTGGTTTTTATTTTAGTGTAGACTTTATTTTTTAGAGCAGTTTAGCTTCACAGCAAAATTAAGTGGAAAGTACAGAATTTCCATATGTGCACTGCCCCACATGGGTACGGCCTCCCCCACTGTCACCATCCCCCACCAGATGATACATTTGTTACAACCCATGAACTCACATTGACACATCATCACCCAAACACAAAAAGTTTTTAACTTAATTTTTTTAATTAAAATTTATTGGGGTGACACTGGTCAACTAAACTATATGTTTCAGGTGTACAATTCTGTAATACATCATCTATATATTGCATTATGTGTTCACCACCCAGAGTCACTTCTCCTTCCATCGCCATATATTTGACTTCCTTTACCCTCTTCTACTGCCCCTCACCCTCCTTACTCTCTGGTAACCACCAAACTGTTGTCTGTGTCTATGAATTTTTGTTTCTTTATTTGCTTGTATTGTTCCTTTGTCTCCTTCAGTTTTATATCCCATATATGAGTGCAGTCATATGAGTCTCGACTCCTTCTGTCTGATTTATTTTGTTTAGCATAATTAACTTAATTTTAAAAAAATTATTTTTGTCCTTTTTAAAATGTGTTATATATATTTAATGGAGTGGGGTGGTACTTGTTAGGATACTAATTAGTAGAATAGTAAAAATTTCTTACTTTTTATAACATTCTTCAAAACCTGAGTTAAAATACACTGAATCTTAAAAGTGTGCTGTTTTTGTGAAAAAGGTAGTAGGGTCATCCTTTGGTGAGAGAGCTTCACAAGAGGCCCGTGTGGTGCTCAAAATGTTTAAACCTCTTGGTTGGTCGCAAAGATATTTTCACCTTGAGGTAAATTTACTTTATATTTTATGAAGAGTAGTAGTGAGATATTTCAAGTATTTCAAAATGTATAGGAGTACTACATAATAAAAAACTCACTTTAGATGCCTACTACCCAGTGTTTTTTGGGTAAAATGTCAAAAAGGGCATTTCCTCATAAATGCTGTTAAAGCCCCAGGGAGGACTAGCTCCTAAAACATTAGTCACCCTTATATTTCTTTCAGTTTTAAGAGTTTGAAAAAGTTACATGGTTTCTGCCATGTCCAGGTTTTTCTGTATCAGCATCATGAAAGTTTGACTTACTTGAAGGGTTCTAATGCTTGTTTCTCTTTCAGGAAGTGGGTTTAGGGCCTCTACATTATCTTGTGAAATAATGGACTGAGTGTCAGGGGAGAGACAGATACGACCATAGGATCTGTGCACTTATCATCGCATTAGTGAGGAGCAGCCAGGGACGCAAAGTAGAGTATAAAAAAAAAAAAAAAAAGGGACAAAGCACTGTGGCAGTTAAGACAGTGGAGGAGGCAGTGCACATGGCTGGGGAGCAGATAAAACCCTAGAGAAGTGAACGGACCTTCGTGACAGACTTTGAAGCTTGGCTTGGATTTTGACAAGACGTGGGGGCGGGCCCTCTTCTAGATCGCTTTCTGGTTTAACACATCTTTAGTATCTCTGTTGTACTTTCTTTCTCCCTCTGTCCTTCATTCATATCTGCTTGTCAAGTTCAACCCTGGATGAACTCAGCCACCCCACCGTATTGATTTCTGTATCCAAACTGCGTTTTCCTTAGAGATGATCAGTTAGATAGGTTGATAACTTTATAAATTCATGATCATCAACCCTAACCAGGCTGTTAACACTGCTTGGAAACTTGACAGCATTTCTGTTCTCAACTGATTGCTGCCATGCTCCACAACGCATTTCCATTCTTTCTCCAGTTTTTATTCTGCTTCCCTCCTTAGCAGAAGATTATGCCCGATACAGTACTTATTATAATAGAGAATATAGAAGCCATCAGAACTCCCTCAACATTGTGCTCCTTCTTATTTATAAACCCACCTGCCTTAATGCTTCTAGAATGTTTCTTCCCTGGGTGTTATGGTGAACTTGTATGCCTTCTATCAAAGGCCAGTCCATCTTACTTTGAATCATCTTTAAAAAACAAACTGGGGGGTGGCCAGTTAGCTCAGGTGGTTGGGGCACCGGCTCATGGCACCAAGGTTGCCAGTTTGATTCCCACATGGACCAAGGAACTGCGCCCTCCACAACTAGATTGAAACAACTACTTGACTGAGAGCTGATGGGTCCTGGAAAAACACTGTTCCTCAATAAAATTTCTTTTAAAAAAACAAAAACAAAAACTGAATATTTTGGAACCCCCTGGGCCTCTCATCCCTTTCTAGCTACTACTGTCTTATCTCTTTTTTAAAGTGGTTCTCTTGAAAGAATTGGCTATAGTGGGAGTCTTTACTTTCTTGCTTCCTCATTCTTCATCCACTCCAATCTGGCTCCAATCCCACCTCTACCCTGAAACTCTTTTTGCCCAAGTTACCAATTACCTTCAGGTTGCTGTATGTCCAGGGCAGTTCCAGTCTTTGTCTCATTTGCTCTTTCAAGCCATGTCATACAGGTTACTACTTGGAGCATTTTCTGCCCAGGGCTTATATGGTACTAAACCCTCCCGATTTTTCTTTCTATTTACCTTGGGCTTCCAGTTTCGTTTGCTCTTTTAAATATCAGTGTTTCTCAGGGTCCAATGGAAGAGGAAGGAGTAGCTAGTTTAGTAATCAAGTCTTAAAGATTTTTTTTTTTTTAAGTTGAGCCATCCTGCCACCTGTTGGCAGCTCAGCGGCTGCTCAGCTCGGGCCGGGAATCGAACTGCTGTTGCTCAGAGATCAAACTCTTGAGTGAGCTCTTAACCAACTGAGCCACTAGGTCAGCCCATAGTAATCAAGTCTAATTAATCTATGTATCTCTTAATGTATTTCAGATTTGCTTTATCTTTACTGCTACCATTCTGACTAAGCTACCATCATCTCTGAACCTGGGCCTCGGTACCTCCTACCTGGCTGCCCTGTGTTTGCTCTTGCCCCCTCTATGCATTCTAAAAAATTAATTTTACTCTCTTATCTAATAACTTAATGGCTTTACATTTCTTTCAAATATAATGTAAATTTGTTCACATTGCCTCAAGGACCCTGCATAATTTGATTCAAGTATTCCTCTCCAACTATATTTGTTACCACATAACCCTTACTTTTTTCTCCTTTTCAGTCTCTGTAATAGCCAGCCTCATGGCCTTCATCCATTGCTCAGTTTTCTGCTTGTAGCCCTCTCTTCACCATACCCCACTTGACTCCCAAGTACATATTATTTTATTTTCCTCAGATATGTTGTACATTTTTTGAGAGCACGGTCACATTTTAAGCTTTTTGGAATGTTCAACAGCATAGCTCTGAATACATAGTAGCTAATCAGTAAATGTTGATTTTTGAACCAGACATCAGGGAACACTGGAGAAGGATTGTTATGTGACAAGGTTTTTATCTGATACAAAGTTGTATCCTTGGTGCTTAGAATAGTACTTAGGATGTAGTAACAATTTCAATGTTAGTTGAGTGAAAGGAAGAATGAATGAGAAAATAGTAGTCTGTCTCCATGTAGAAGCAGCAAAACCAATGCATAGTAGTTAGTTTTGATTTTCCCAAACAGGATATGATATCAAGCATCAGTAAAACATTTCTGCTTTCAATGCAGAAATTATGAGATTCAGAAGACTGAGAGAAGGTGAGACTGAGAAATGTAGTGGAGAAATGTAACTTCACCAGTCTTTTAAAGCATAAATTCATGAACTCAGGATTTTTGTTTTTTACTTACAGAGATTTTCCCATATAAAAGTAAGGCTGGTATAGTGAACTGGCAATTACCTATCGCCCAGCAATAATTATCAACATTATGCCAATCTTGTTGAATCAAGTTTAGTTCCTCTCTTTTTTATCTTACCCATTTAGCCTTTTACCAATTCCTGGCTATTTTGTTTTGTTGAATTTTTTTGTTTCCTCTAACTCCTGACATCTAAATTATAATGATGTTTTCCTAATTGGTCTTTTATGTCTAGTTTTTCGTATCTTTCTAATTTACCTTATATGTTGGTAAGTTAACCTTCATGTCGTGTCACATTTAAATGTTCTCCTCATGACCCAGCAAAGGTCATACTGTGTAAAAGAGAAAGTCTGAACTCCTCATCTTGGAGTTTGAGACCCTCCACTTTACTAATCAACTGTGTTTCTCCTTCATCTTTATGACAAATCCTCATGCTGTGTATGTCTCCATCCATCCATCCATTCCTTCAGTGAACAGATGACATACAGAATCAAAGGAGTTATGGTCTTGGTTCTCAATGAGCATAATGTATTTTATAAAATCTGAATACAAGTGTACATTAAATTTATACTCAAATGTTGCCAGATAGATTTCAATATGACTTTTAATTCAGAGATACTGATTCTTTGTTTTTAAGCAGAGGCAAAAGACCTTAAGGATAATAAAGAGGTAACAAATCCTGATGATTTGGAACTTGAGTTGGAGAACCTAGAAATTAATGATGACACCTTGGAGCTAGAGGGTACGGATGAAGCTGAAGATCTTACAAAGAAACTTCTTGATGAGCAAGGTACTCACTCTTCTGCCAGTTTTAATTTTTGATTGGTTTTTGTACACAAAGCTCTAGCCCAAGAATATGGATCTTTCTCTTTAATTCCTGTTTTCCTTTTGTTTCCATGCCATCACTTTTTTGGAATTTGATTTAGAACAGAAATATTGCATGTCCCATATTATGTGACTGTAAGCTTTAGTGATCATCTAAATTTAAATATCTTAATAGATATTTTTTATACTTCTCTACTCCCTAGTATTATTCTGAGTTTATTTTAATTCTTTATAATCTTTACAATCTTAACAAATGCATTTGAAAATTATTCTAAAATGGTTGCAAGATAAAGGACAACTAGTATTAGTTCACCCATGATATTAGAATTGAGTAATGTTTTGTATTTTATAATAAAAAATACTACATTGTTAGTTCTATTAGTTAGGATTCTCTATTTAAAAGGATATCTTCTGACAGTATTGCTTTTCTTTTCATTGGCTTCATTGTTTCCTTTTGCAGATTCTCTTTCTCCATGTCATGCAGGGAGGGTGGGCAGGGCTAGAGGCTGCCCCAGGCTCAAATCATACCCGCTAGTGACATCAAAGAAAAGAGAGATTCTCTCCCACTGTCAGTCTATAAGTGTCATGGAAGGACTTGGCTGGTCTGTCAGGCTTTACCTGTGACCGAGGGGAATGGTGGTGTGCTGTGATCTGCCAGCACCCTTCCCCATCAGAACCCATGGGTTGCTGTCAAAGACAAGCAGTGAGGTGCTGTTAATTGAAGCCTTGTGGGAAGGAATGCTCGGCAGATAAAAAAAACAGACGTACTTTAAAAACTACTGTAATGTCTGATTAAGATTTTTGTGTCTAATGCAAAAGTTTGCCTTTTTTTAAATTGGGGATTTGGGGGATGGGAACAGCGCTGGGGAATCAGGGGAAGGGGAACAGACAAGTTGCCGTCCCTCTGCTCCTCAGTCCAGCTGTGGAGGACGTCGCTCCACTGGCCCAAGTTGGCACCATCATTGCGCTCTTCCCGGGTGAGGCAGATCAGTCGCCGGCTTCTGGACGGCCGCTCACGCTGGCTGCTGGC